TATATATATATATATATATATATATATATATATAATTATTAATTTCTACGCCGCCCACATCGATTTGTCCTTTTCAGAAAACCAATTTGAACGTTTTTTGCATCGAAAGCACAACCAAGATTAATTATAATATTGAATCGACAAAATGCCAATATATTACAGAAAATTACTTTATTTTCAAACAGCAGAAATAATTTTGCAAAAATAGAAAAAGGATAGATAAAGATAAAAGAAAAAACTAGAAAGATTTCTAGCTACATTTCGATAAGACCTAAACCTGTTACCCAAGCTTCCTCAAATCCAATTCCCTTCTTCCTGTCAATCAAAGTACAACGTTACATAAACGGTCTTCTAAATTAATATATAACTAAAAAAACTCAGTTCGCAATGCCCGCAGGAAATCTTTCGGAAGAGCTCACAAAAAATAGTAAACATCACGTCGTATCAAAAAAATCTCTTCAAAGACCTACTTGTTCATCAAGAATTTGCTGAACCATGTGTCCAGGAGGTACATGCAGTGGAAGCGCAGCAGATGCACCAGCTTGATTTACCATACGTACTGTTGCTGGTCCTAAAAAACTCATGAAACCGTCGATAATTTTCAAACACCAAACAGAACTTAATTTACCCATTCACTACTCTAAAAGGGTAATCCCCAAAACTTACCAAATAAACTTAGCAAAAAGTAAAATAAAGAAAGAAAAGACAAAAAGAGAAGTGTATTCAGAGCGTTTAGAGAGTACTTTAACCCTATTCATGCATGTGCTGAAAAAATTTTTGCGATTCAACCGAAACACTACGAAAATTCTGTTGTGACAGATTTACCAAAAAATATCAAAAGAAGAGGAAAAAGGCAAAACAGTGAAAGACAATCAAAAGACATTTCATCCAAGGAAAGAAAACGATAGTGCAAATTGTAAACAACGCTATACATCGTACAAGAACCAGCCAAAATAGCTGCTTGAAAACTTGTATTTCTACTAAAGATTATGTTAAAAAAAAAAAAATAACATCCAATAAAAAACCGATTAAAGAGGAGCGTCACGAATGTTCCTCAAACACCGACTAATCAAAAAATTTACTTACCAGCAATTTGATGAACGTCACTCCCAACTACAATTGAAAGTGTTTCACCAGTTTGAACATGTACAAAAAGATCATTATTGTTGGAAGACGAAGCAGAAGTTCGCTGAACAACAGTGGCAAACATGTTTCGCCCTATAAATGACAGAATTAACAACAATAATAGTAATAATAACAGTGATAACAATGAAAGTAGAGAAACACAGAGCAGTAACAAAAAAAATAATATGAACAGGAATGATAATAATAATGACAGTGATATTAA